GTGATACCTGTCTTTGAAAAAGCAAGGGCTTTAGTTGCTGTTAATTTGTATTAAGTTGTATGTTTTGTTCTGCAAGTGTAGCTGAATGGCTAATTTTTCATATTTTGCTGCAGTTGTGTAGGCTGTTTGCTGGGCTTTGAGATTTTTAGCCTGATTTCCCAAGCAAATGAGGCTTATGTGAACATGCTCTCTTTGTCAAATGCTTTTACCTGTCAAAGCTGAAGGAAGCTTCAGCTTCGAAACGGTTGGTCAAGTTCATCAAGATCCCAGAAATAATTAAGTTCCTTCTAGTTTCATGGAAACTAACTTCTGTGTAGAGGAAAGAGAATGAAATTAGTGCCCCCATTGAAAAAAGGCCAGGAGAATTAATCAGTTAAGACAATTCATCATTTATACTTTTGTTCAACAGCTTCTTGACTGTTCAAACAGCATGTGCAAAGCTCTGGAATAATTGCAACATGTACTGTTATCGCTGGGAATATAACAGAGGATGTGATGGGGGTGAGCTAGGGTTATCCCACTGAGGAGGGATGGAGATAAGTGGTGAAAAACTATGTCTGCAGGAAACCCGCTTCATTAGTTCAGCTGCTCATGGAAAAACTGGCATGTCCACATGGATTTTGGATTAATTTGGCACAGGATTTTTTGGCATAGTTTTAGTTTATGATTTCTGTGGTTTGTATGAGTACTTGTGCTCATTGATAGGCACGTTTCTTTGGAATTGCATTTAAAAGTCCTAGCTGTATCTTCATGACACTTTTGTTTTGGAACAGTGCAAGGCAACACAGCGGAATAATGTTTACTTTAGTAACTTGAGCCAGTTAAGTTTTTTACAACTGTACCACTGAGAGTCATTATCTAATCTATCCAGCTCTGAAGTTTGCATGAGACTTGTGGCTAGCTGAACACCAGCTAGAATAATTAGGCACCATAAATCACGTTTTTATTTATGTTTTCAGTTTTTACTTCTGTAGCAGATGCATTGCCCATAGATTAACAATGTGAAACTGAACAAAAATCTTTGCTCTTTGCCTTAGCTCATGGGACCTTTTCCAACTGTATCCTAGTTAGAAATCTGACCTTGTGGAGTCCCAAATTTGGCAGAAGGAAGGTGCTGCTGGAAATATTCTTCTCAGTTTCTCAATCATTTATTCATGAAGACGAAGTTACACACTGAGTGGTATCTGGCCAAATCATTTGCTTCAAGAGTCAGGTTTATGATCCTTTTCCAACAACTGCAGACTTGAGGGTATCTGCTAGATCGCTCTTACCAGATGTAGCTATGCAATTTCTGTCAGAGGGCCCAGGCTGTCTTTCCTAGCTTTCAAAAACTATGAGAAGCTAAGTAAGAGTCACAGATTATTTACTTAGTGCCAACAACTTGGTAATGCAAACCTTAATATTGAAAGGTCAGGTATTTAATTTCCTAATAAAGAACATTTTGTGTGAGAAACTAACCTGGATGGACGTTAAGTTGCAAATCTGATTGGCAGTGTTCACAAAATAGCTGCCAAAAATTGTTAGGGGAAGTTGTAAATTGATATCCCAAATCAATTAGAGCACAGCACCGTATTATAATTCTTAGCCATCTTTTCTTCTGCTTGAGCAACAATATCTTTGGGAGATATCTCTTGATGACGTTTCAGAGGTCATGTTTTAACTTCAACATTAGGGGTTAGAGCTTTTGTGTTTGTCTGTTTGTCTCTTTGTTTCAACATTGCCGCACCAGATTTTTTTTGCATTCCTATAAATAATCTGCAAGGGTAGAATACCATAGAACTGTACATCATTCTGCTTCTTGCTGGGACTTTTGTAAGGCTCCAGATTAAAAAAACCCAGAATTTCAGGTTTGTGGGAGTTTTGATCTATTCTTTCAAAATCTGTTTTCATTCCGGATTGACATACAAGCAGAGAAAAGGCACACGCACACACAGGGAGGTGCAGGTGCATGTGCACACACACACACTCTTGGAACACCCCATTAAGTGAAATTTCAACAAAGGGTTGAGTTTTCCAGCTGAAAGATTTTATATTGATAAAATCAAGATGGTTCATTTAAATGTCAATATTATGTTAAAATATAATATGAAGTAAAAGGCTTGAGATTAAAAGTTTTTTTCTGAAATGAAAGACCTTGCATATGCTCTTAATTTCAGCCCCTTCCCCAATGGCATTTCAATGAAATCATTATGTTTCTGCAAAGTACCTACATCTGAATGAAATGGCAACATTCCACTGGAAAATTTACATCCAGCTGTTTGAAGCTTTCTTCCACTGTTTGTTTAATTGTGAACACATTTTGTTCACATCATGACTATTAGAGATAGCTTATCTGTCTGGCATCTTAATTAGCAGATTACTAATCTAGGACTTCAATCTTTCTGGTTACTGATAGCCTTTGTTTTCTAACTCTTCAGTTAGTCTTTTCATTCATATACGCTATGGTTTTCATATATTCTATGTCTTCATTAAGCATAGGCTCTTTAATCATATCTGTTTTAATACTAAGGTTATGGCTAAGGTGGAAGAGAAAATCCAAATAGGTTTGGAGTGGATCATGCTTTAAATGTGCAAAGAATCAGTTTATAACAAGGATCAGATAATTTAGGATTAAGAGGTAATCTCACATAAAATATTTGCTGGTTTTGAGAAAAATCATTGCAGAGTTCTACTCAGAAAAAGCAAATATTTTACATCCTGAACACACACAAGGAATGTATATAAACAATGGCACCAAGATATGTTAAACAGACATGGTCTTAAAACAGAATTATTTCCCATGCTATATATAACTGTACTATATCTCATATATATACTTACATAATATGCTGTTACTGTACTTGTTTTCCCAGTAACTGAGACCTTCATGATCTTTAATGTATTTACCTTTCTATGGCCCTCATGGCAAAGTTTCCAGCAGCTTTCAATTTTAATTGCCAAAGGGGTTTCACATCAGTGCAGTGGGAGAAGTTTCTCCTGTGTAGGTAGTTTGTTGAAAACTTTAGGGCTTACGGGATAAAATTTACCCTATACGTGTCAGTTAGTTATATTGCTGTCGGCAAATTTGTTGTCACAACAGGTGGTAGTTCTTCCCTTTGATAGGAAACTCTTGATAACCTGTGAATTGTTTGTACATTACTGATTTATCACCATTACTTAAGGTCTCATGTTGCGCTGTAGTCAGGTTCGTGTGCAGCTGTCCTTTTTTGCAAATGGCAGACTGATAGGATCACATGGAAATGCTTTCAGCAGAAAGAATTGCCCATTGGATTTAGTAGAAAGCCTCTGACACATCCAAACTGATCAGCTGTGCTCCTTTCATGCAGGGAATGGATGAAGCTATAGCTTATACTGTTACAATTATACCACAGGAAAAAACAAAAATAGTTGAATTTTGGAAGTTTGTTCAAGATTTGTCGCTCCTGGTAACACTGAAACATGAGACTCTTAGGTGGTGGGCAGGAGTATCTGATGTTTGAATAAAGCTTAGAAATTTTAAACATGTGCTTGTGAAACTAAAGCACAAATAGAACTGATTTGATTCTAAATGATTTAGCTCTAAAAAGTCGTGTTTCGGTTCTTGACAGATGCTTTTCATACCATCTCTTTGTTGACATGGAACCATGTTTGTTCCTCGTGTCCTGAAATTGTTTTTCCAAACTGAGCAAATCACTACTTTGGTAGAAGGTATGTGTTTCTTTTGTGTTCTGAAAACCAAAAGCCTGGACTAAGAGTTCCAGTTGTAATGTTACTACATCACAACCACGTATTCATTCCTCACCCTCAAAAAGAGTTTGTCCAATGATAGGAACTTCTGTATCCCACTATGTTAATTGCATACATGAATCACAGAAATGTGATGGCATGTGAGGCTCTCCAAAAATTTTAGATTACTTTTTAAACATCTCACAGCCTGAATCCTGGATTCTGTATGGGTTGATGTCTGTGCTCTGGGAAGTTTTGCTGACGTCAGTGACTGGTACTTCCTTTGTACGGGGATGCTGCCAAAAGCAGGGGGAGAAATAAAATAATGTCAAGAAAAATAATAACTCTAACTATGTACTTGATCCCACAGGAGTCTTCATTCCTGTGCTCAATACAGTAATATCGTCAGAAAGGTGGCTATCAAGATAAACTGTACAGAAAACTTCAGGGCTGGAACACTTTCTAGGAATGAACAGAAAATCATCAGGGTATCTGAGGTAAATGTCAGTGCCGGTACAGAGAAATGTATTTGCCATTAAGCTCTGCTGACATTTTCTCTTTTAAGATCCTTTTTACAGTTGCTTCTTGTCTGGACAAATGTCTGTCATTTGGGACTCGTGTTTTCCAAGATGGCCATTTTGCTCAAGCTGACTTTGCTTTTAAACTCCTCACTTTGAAGTTGCTTTTTCTAACTGAGGTGAAGAATGAAATTGAGAAAACACATTGATTTTTCCATATGACAAAACATTTCTGAAGGCTGCTAGACTGAAGGAGATTAATGCTTCCAGGATTTGAACAGTGACTTACATTTGGCAGAAAGAATATGTTGGTACCAAAGATATTCCTCCTGATGATCTTGTGAAAATCTTCCTATGTTCTGCCAGACCGTGTCCGAAAAACCTGTTTGTATGTACTGATGTGTTCCGTTTCCTTATAGCTCCAAATGTTAGCGGGACTTTCCCACAGAGCAAGAAGAGTTTTACATATATCCCGTTGTCTTTCACAATATAAAATCCATAATACAACCGAACTGCTTGGCTGTTTGTTAGTCGCAGGAGCCATGCACGGCCCAGCTCAGACGTCCTTCTGGCTCCCAGGATCCCCGTGGTAAATGCTGTGGGGCCTCGCAAAATCCTGTCCTCTTCGCTCGCCATGCTGCTCCTTTTGCATGGAGCTTCTGGGAGGCGAGGAGGAGAGTGCAGAAGGATGTCCCGCGTGGGACAGCAACTCCAGACCCCTGGGGGAAGAGAGGCTGGTCCCAGTGTGAGGGAGCTGAGGGAAAGGCAAGGAAGGGAGAGGAAGGACCGGTGGCAGGCAGGACAGAGGAAAGGGTAACAACTGAAGCAGCACCTGAGGGGGGAAAGGAGGAGCACACAGAGGGTGTAGCCACAGGGAAGTGCCTGCCATAGCCAAGTTTCAAGAAGAAAACACCTCCACGCCAACCCCCCCCTGAGTAAACTACTGCAGATCCATTAACCCTTTCTAATTTCTTCAAATCCCTTTTAGCATCAAATTCACTTCAAGCATTTGTTGAAGGTTGCTGTAAATTTGAAGGCGTCAAGCCCTTCTGAAGATACGTAGCGTGCTTGTGAATGTGGCTCCACGTGACAGAATGTTATTTCAGTTTTACACCTCCAAATCTATAGGAAATTGGATGCTGCGACTACAGAACGTTACGGTGAGAAATGGAAGCCATCAAACCTGAGATTTATGGTATCTGTTCACCACAGGATCCTGATTCACTCTTAAATGCCACCTGTCTTGTGTACCAAGTCAGTCAGAGGTACAATGGGAGGAAGAAAAAAAAAAAGGTCTGTGATTGTGCAGTGGCGCCCTGTCGTGATGTATTACTTGCGCTGTGGAGCAAGTGAAGGCTGCGTGGGTAATTTTAAAGCTGACATTTCCTGTCTTTCAGCTGCTCTACGTAGCTAAAGTACGACTTTTTACAGGGCTGCATGGGCCCTCAGCGCGGCCGTACCTGTGTGAACACGGGGAAGCTGCGCCCACCTGACTGCAGGTGCTGGGCGGGCGAAGCTCCGGAGGCGTTTAGGGAACCACAGCCTGACTGACGCTCGCGGTTTAACAGCTTTGTTTTCCGTTTCAGCCACTAGCTTTGGGAAGAAACCCCACGGAACAGAACCATGGAAAGTGAGGAGCTCTTCCCTTGCCGAATATCAGCGTTCTCTCCCCAAACCCGGAGGGCGCCAGGACTGCCCGCGCCGCCGGCCGCTGAGGGGAGGTGAGGGGCGGGGCGGGG